TTTCATTGTGGCCCTTTGGGAGAGCTATGACTTGAGTGCCTGTGGGGTGGGGTGTGTTGCTGGCAGAGCCCTGGGGGGAGGGGAAAAGAAAGGGGGAGGTGAAGACCTGGCTCCCCCATGTCTGTAGACAACCACAACCACAGAACAGAGAAGCCACCCCCAGCAGCCCTCGGTGGGTCTGCCAGATTTGGGATGCTCGACGGTAGGTCTGGCACCCCAGCCCAGCAGACAGGACACGGCGGGCCCCATTGGGCTGCAGACTCAGCTCCGAGGAAGCTGGGGGCGGCAGGGCCATGGGGCAGTCTTTGATCTCTTCTTTTGCAGGCTGTCCCCAGGCTCAGCAGCCGCAGTGCTGGCTCTTGGCTTTCTGCCAACTCACTTCTGCAGCTGCCCGAGAACTGGCTGTAAGGTGTCCCCTGGAGCCTCCTACCCCCTCCTGGGGCGTCCCCACACCCCTCTTACCTCGGTGTCCCTTTTATGCATCGGGCTGTTCACAGGGAGGGCAGTGACTGGGAAGAAAGAGAGAGAGCTGGGGTCACTCCTCTGTTCTGAGGGGAGAGCCAGTCCTTCTTGGCCAGGTTCCTCAGGGGCCCAGTCACCCCTTTGCTCCCCCTTACAACTGCCCCCACCCAAATGAGACGCTGGGGCTGATATTGTTTCCCTTCCCTGGCAGCTGCCCCATGAGTGTGTCTCCCAGAGGCTGCCCTGAGAGCCTTAGCCCTTCCCTTTGGGAAAGCTGCTCTGAACGGGGTGTGGGAGCTGAAGGCAAGTGTGAAAACAAGGCTCAGGGCTGAAGGGCTTGGGGCGGGAGGAGAATGCAGGGAGAGGTGGCGAGGGAAAAGGGATGGAGGAGGAGGAGTGTGAGATGACGCTGAGAGGAAGAAGTCAAGGGCAGGAAGACGGAGAGCGGGAGGATGGAAGAGGGAGAGAGGCAGAGCCCGCGGCAGCCCTCCCATCTCCCCCGGTGACCTTGGCCAGGCAGGGCGCGGAGCCGGATGCAGCCCGGACGCCCAGCCCAGGTACGGGGTGGGGGCACCCGGGTGCCTGCCTCGCGGAGTCGGGAGTCCAGCCCGAAGAGCGAAGAGCCGGGTCTGCGGGCTCCGGGCCCAGGCCCACTTAGCTGGGTCGGGAGGGAGGCGGGGCGCTGTCCGCGGTGCTGAAACTCGCCGCGCGTAGGGGAGGGACCGAGGGGCGCGGGCGCTGCGCGGAGCCTGGACGCAGGGCTGGCAGGGCCGGAGCGAGAGGGGCGCCCAGGACTCTCTCCCCCACACTGCGCTCACCTTGCCCGGCGCAGAGCAGAAGCGCCAGGACCGCCGCGGAGCGCATGGCGAACCCGGGACGCCGAGCACGGTGGGCACCTGGGCGCGGGGTGGTTGGACGGGCGGTGCGGGACGGGCTACCGCAGGCGTTAGAGCGGGGATGGGGGTCGCAGAGTCTGTGTGCGTCCGTCTGTCGGTCCACCCACCAGCCTCCCTGCATAGAGTTCCGACACTGCAGTAGCAACAGCAGAGGCGTGCGCGCCCGCTACGGCTTATATACCCCCATCCCGGAAATGACGTCATCGGACCGCCCTGCCCCTTGCTCCACCCTCTGGGGGTCCGGCCGCAGTTCGTTCCACTCCCATCCTCACCCCTCTGGCCCACGCTGCTCACAGCTCGTAAGTCTGGCTATGAGGCAGGCATCTGGCTTCCAGGAGTTGGCAGGGGCACTTGGCTGATTCTCCACCACTCGAGGCTCCACCGAGTTGCTGTGAGTCTTGGGCAAGAGACTCCTGGTCTCTGGGCCTCGTGCTCCTCCACTGTGCGCCGAGGTCCCTGCCAATCCTCGCACAGCACGCCATCCTTCCTCCACCAGGCTTCAGGACCCCTGTCTGAGTAAGGCCTCTCTCTCTGGCAACCCAATAGTGTGCCTTCATGACTTGTCATTGTACCAGATAGCTGTACATTTATGTGAATAACATTTTGTCTGCATTGCTTATACCAGGGGTCCTCAAACTACGGCCCGTGGGCCACATGCAAATACAAATATTGTATTTGTTCCCGTTTTGTTTTTTTTTTACTTCAAAATAAGATATGTGCAGTGTGCATAGGAATTTGTTCATAGTTTTTTTTTAAACTATAGTCCGGCCCTCCAATGGTCTGAGGGACAGTGAACTGGCCCCCTGTTTAAAAAGTTTGAGGACCCCTGGCTTATACAGTGCTCAGCATGGCACCTGGCACAGAGAAACGCATTTAATGGATAATGTTGAATATACTGAGTGGTAGTTCAACTGAGCTCTCCTGGGGGTTGGTGAGGGACCTTGCAAGTTCTGCTCAGTAGCCCCGATCGACCCCTTAGGACCACCTTCTTGCCGCTGTAACCCATCCTGTGTTTGAGAACAGCTCTCGCCTCTTCCGAGTGTTCTCAAAACCCAAGTGTTCTGTGTAACGTTGGTTCCCTGGTTTGTTTCCCTCTGCCCTCGAGCCCTCGTGCTCGGCCACATGTTTAAGGCGCTGGATGGTTACTGCCCCACAAGGGAAGAAAGCTGAACCACTTTCCAAGGGAGTGGGCCTTCCTCGTGGAAACTTCCAGAGCCGCTGCCAGCCTCCAGGAACGCCTGTTCTTCAGGAGCCTGACCCTGTTTCTCAGGAGACGGAGCACAATCAGCCAGCAAAGATGTCCCAAACCAGGCTTTGTAAGTGACAATGCCACTCACTAGCATTTGCACTGTGTCATAGCGCTTCAGAATGGTCCATCGCTGATGCCTTACAGCACCCTGGGCCTAAATGAGACAGGGATTTGATTCTTCTTTGCACATTTTCAAACTGCAGAGACCCGGGAAGTTGAAGTGAGCACCATGGCAAGTGAATGGGAAAGTTGGACGTAGAGACCAGCAGGTCCCAACCTTCGCACTGCCCACTGGTTCCCCAAGATCTGCTGCCACACTTTGATCCAAGAAGGCCCCCCATTACCATCCCACTCCCTCCCCATTTATATATAAATGGCCTTGGTTTTGTATGTCACATGAAGCATTGAGCTGGGTGGGTGGTGGAGCTGGAGCATAGCTCACTGAGAGGAGGAGATGGGAGAAAGCAAAGTCAGGAGCTCTTTGCATTGACTGTGCGGAGGGCATGTGGAGTAGTCGACTCCACCTTCATCCCAACTCTCTTGTGGGCAGAAATAGGGAAGCTGAAAACTACATTTCCCAGACGTCCTTGCAGCTAAGGACCTGGTTGTGATTTAGGTTCTACCAATCAGAGGAGCAGGAACTGGATTTGGAGTTGTGTGGAGAAAGAGAGAGAGAGAGAGAGAGAGAGAGAGAGAGAATGCAGAGCTACCCTGTTGCCGTGTGGGGTGTGGATAGCACAGGGTGGGTGGCTCTGGGGACCGCCGTGGCGCCAGCTTCCCGCAGCTCCCGTGGCAGCGCAGTTCTGACGTGGTTTTGCGAGTGGTTTCTGGAAACACCCTTTAGAGTTGGCTTCTTCAGTTCTTCCCGTGATTCTGAAAGCCACTTAATATCCTGTTTTCTGAACTGAACCCCGATTGAAACAGGGAAATGGCCAGTCAGGGCAGCGAGCAGATCTGACAATAAGTAGCAACACTGGCGTGGAGGGTGGCCGGTGAGTGGGTGCTGACGGTGGGAGTGTGTGTAGGCCCCTTGTCACTACGTGGAAGGAAAGGGACAGTGCCGGGCACTATTTATTTCCAACCCCCAGACAGCGCTGGCTCCAATCCACCCAAACCTGCAGGTTTCATCCTGGAGAGAGCACACCGTGGAAAAGCACGCCTGTTGGCTTCCTTCCCTCCTCACCCCTCCTCCCCCCGCCCCCCACCCCGGCTCCTTCCCTGCTTCTCTACCCAGAAATTCCTTATGAACCCTGTCCACCCGCATCGTTGACTCAGGGAACCCAAGCCCAGATGCTGTCCCCCAGGGGCTCTGTCTGGGGTGAGGGTCTGACCGCGCCCGGAGCCCCCGATGGTCCTCAGTCCTGCAGCCACACGGAGCTCAGTGCCCTTCATGCCTCACTCACCCCGTCTCAGGCCTTGATAGCTTTCCCTCCACTCCTGACTCTGGGCTTGATTGTTCTTTTTTTTAATTTTAATTTTGGGTGGCGGGGGACGGCCGCCCAGGCCTTTCCTGGGTGCCAGTGACCTTGCGGAGGCGCCCTCTGCAGACAGTCGCACGATGGCCTCTCTGGTCCAGCCTCTTTCCCACCTGCTCTCCCAGAGCTGTTGGGGCTGGGAAGGGAGACATTCCCTCATGCAACAAACACTTATTGAGCACCTGCTGTGCTCCAGGCTCTGTCTGGATGCTTGGAAAAGAGCTTCTTGGGGCTTGTACTCTAGGCTGGGAGACGGGCGATAAACAACAGTGAGTATGTGCTCGGAAGCTGGCGATGCTGTGGAAACAGGAGGAGCAGCCCTGGCCGCTGTGGCTCAGTTGGTTGGGTGCCATCCTGCACCGAAAGGGCGCTGGTTCGTTTCCTGGTCAGGGCACATGCCCGGGTTGCAGGCTTGATCCCCGGTAGCAGGTGTGCAGGAGGCAGCTGATCAATGTTTTGCTCTCACATCCATGTTTCCCTCTCTCCCTCTTACTTCTCTCTCTAAAAAATTAATTAAAGAAAGAAGAGCAGAGCAGGGTAAGGGGCTTGGGAATAGTTGGGCCGGAGGGTGTGGCCCCATCAAGCAGGTGGGCAGGAGAGGCCTCGCTGAGACCATAGCTTAAGTAAGGACGGGAAGGGCTCGAGGGAGGGAGCCCTGTGGGGATCTGGGAGAAGACCATCCAGGCAGAATGAGGAGCCAGAGCAAAGGCCCTGGGGCTGAGTAAACCTGGCAGGTTTGAGGCAGCACCAAAGCCCAGGGCGGCTGGGGGGGGGCGGTGGGTGGTGGTGGGCGAGGCAGGACTAGGCCGGATTGTGCAGGGCCTCCTGGACTGGGGAGGATCTGGGCTTTGAATCGGAGAAACAGGAGTCATTGCGAGAAGAGGGGCAGCAGAGGATGGGGATGGTGGGACCCCCAAAGGCATTTTATGGAGGTGCCCGCAGGCCCAGCTAGCTCCCAGCTGCCCCAACGCCCACCCGTCCCGGGGGCCTGCAGAGAGGCTTCTGAACAAGGGAAGCCGTGCCCCCGCCTGTCCCAGGGGCCAGGAACGCCCCTTGGGTGAGCACCAGATCCCAGGAGTGACATCTCCACGGGGGGCCCTGCAGGGGGGCCCGGGAGCCGCTTTCTTCCTGTCCCGCAGGGAAAGCGGCAGCTGCTTATCTGATGGGGGAGCCAGGGCCCTGGACAGCAGAGTCAACACGCCCTCGGCCTGCTTACAAAACCCTATTTCCCAAACACTCAGCTCCTCCAGCCCCTTATCGGCCTCCAGGTGGCAAAGGCCGGTTGCTGGGCAATGCTGTTGTTTATCTGCGAGGTCTGCGCGGAGGCCAGTGCGCGGTGATTGCATTAGGCCCTCTCCCACCTGTCTCTGCAAACATCTCCGGGGGCCTCCAATTAAGGTTTTGCTTTTCTTCTTTGGCAGATGTTTGGTTTAATCTAATAAAGCTGTTTACAGGCCTCCATGGGTGGACGAGGGCTCAGTGGGCCCCAGCCCGGGAGGCCGGTGGGAGAAGTGGGGGAGGGTGCCTTGGGCACCAGGCCCTGGACGCGAGGCTGGCTCACTAGAGCCGTGAGGCAGAGCAGGTTGGAAAGAAGGGCCAGCCTGGACCAAACTGAAATGCGAGGAGCCTTCCCGTGCCTCCCCTCCTTCCTGCGCCCCGCAGCCATATTCCCACAGGGGCGCACAGCGGCCTCACTCCCGGGAGAGACAGCCCCCTTTCCAGGCCCTAAGCTCTCAACCCAACGGGCCCCCAAAGGCTGCTTGCCCCCAGAGAAGAGTCTTCAGGTGACGTCAGGGCCCTCCAGCTGGCGGGAGCAGCTTGGATGATGGAAAGAGCTGCGCTGTGGCCTCAGGAGACCAAGGTGTGGGTCCCGGCTCTGCCTACTACTGTGGCGTCACCTGCAAAAGTCACTTAACCTTTCTGAGCCTCTGTCTCCTATTCCACAAAGTGGCCAAAATAATTCCTTGTGTGATTTCTATGAATTTAGCTGAGAAAACTCAGTAACTGACATCTGTAGCGCTTGCTGTGTCTGGGGTGGCTCAGGGGTGCTGAGAACAAAAGGGAAAGTTCCTGGGTGCTCACCATATGGGGTGTCTCAGGTGGCTGTCACAGCTCCCTCCTCTCTCTCTCTCTCTCTCTCTCTCTGTCTCTCTCTCTCTCTCCTCTTGTGGGGCATTTGGTTCATGTGGTTCCATTTGTAGTTCACTGACTGACTAATGAGCTACCTTCTTCAACTTCAGCATCAGCAGCGCTGGAC